TCCTAAATTATTCATATAGAATTAGTGTCACAAATAAATCATACTGTTTACTTATCGAGAATAATTAATTAATTTATCTGTAAATTCTCTAACCTTCACATCAAGCCACTTTAATCGATCGCCAAGTTTTTTTTTACAATTTCGGCGGCAAGAGCTTTAGTAGGAGCTATATACACGACTTTAAATTCATTTATATCAACTATGCTCCCGTTGGACCAACGGTTCGGGAAAGCAATAGTCCTTGATCTTACGTAGTATTGTAAGAATGGCTATATCTGCTTTATCCTATATTTTTAATTAATTCGCTAGTTAAATATGGCTCAACTTAAATATACTAATACATACTATTCGGTAGGGACACAAATTAATAAATTTTCGTTTTTTTTATGTGCAGCAGGGTAAACAAGTGATTGTATACGATTCAGTGTCTTATACTGTTAAATAAAATAAAATTAAAGTTAAAGCCCCGATTCATATTATGATAAAAAATAGAATGAAAATGAACAATTGCCTTAAACGAACCCCTACAAAGATTATCGGTTTCATTCAGATTAATTAGTTTTTCATTTTCAATGTGTGGAGCTCGCCTAATAATCGGAATGGTAATTTCTTTGTGATCCTGTATAAATAATTATCGTTTAACTTTAAATAATCTGATAAATCTTTACATAAGATGAATTACTTGCATAAAATTCTTCACGTTTGGTGCCAACTAGTATAGGATATTTGGTTCCAAACATGGAAAGTACGCTACCTGTCTGGGCATTTCTAAAGACGTATTTATAATTTTCAGATGGAGTAATCTATACAATAAGAATGTAAAATATATAATAAATAAATAAATGAATTATATAATAACTAATTTATCAAATATTTGAAAAGAAGATCTTGATTGATGACAAACTAACATCTTCGGGAATATCTCTTGAGGTACGCAATGCTTGTTCCCGAATGGCGAGTAATTTGTAAACACTAAACCCTAAAATATTTGCTGAGGTCAAGTCTTCTTCTTCCACTTTGAAAAAATGGAATTATAATCGATATTAAATTTTTTTTTTTAAAAAAAATATCCAACAATCGATCTGTCTAAAAAAGAATAGGAACAATAGATACCTTTGCTTTTTTGTTTTGTTTTTTTTTGTTTCTTCCGTAAACGCTTCGTCATCCTATCATTTACTGATTTTCTTTTATCTTTAGGTTCAATTATGGTAATTAAGGAACTCTTCTGTGAATCCTAGGGCCAATATTAAATAAACTTGTGCAAAATAAGATCTAAATTTCAGTTTTAAAAATAAATTAGACTTGTGGGATTTCTACATATAGTGATTTATTAATGATATTTTCAAGAATTGTGAACCGTTTAGTTGCCATTGTGGTAACAAAATTTAAGATATCGAAGCCAATAAGATCGAATCGTCTGAAATATATTAATTACACTTTTAATATCAAAAGTATTAAACAGAAAATTAATCAAAGAAACAAAAGCAAAAATTAAAATCATATAATACTAACCTCCATACCTGACCTTAAGATTGTAAAAATGCTTGTACATAACTTTTCTGGAGTTATCGCTCCATCTGCATCACAGAATGAGGCAATATGTAATCGACACTGTCTTGAGATTCAATTATGAACGCAATTAAATTTAGCAAAAGAAAATGAATTTTACAAAATAAATACATAAATAAATTAATTAATATAAATACATGCCCTAGGAACCATTCCTTATCAAACGGTACATTTTTAAAGTCGGAATAATCATCATAGTAGGAAGGTTGTTATATATAAGATAGATCCATACTCATCTTCCAATAATTCATTATCCAGTTAAATTTGACGATATTATTGAGAGTAAGTTTCAAATCAAAAAAAGGGGTTAGGGTTACTTCATAAAAATACGTAAAAAAAAAAAAATGTAAACCTAGAAATTCATTTTGAATACTACATAGTAATTAAAGATTCGATTATTAAAAAGAAATTTGATAAAAAAATAATTATCCAAATAATTATCCAAAGAATTTCAATTACCTTCGACTTTTTTGAAGAATTTCTTTGAATTCGACAAATTTGTCTTCTATTCTTCTTGAATTTTATTTGCGTGATTTAACAAAATTGTTACCGCATTTGGAATTTTCCTTTACCCTTTTCACTTACTTCATTTTGACGTAACAAGTCAGAAATTTTTAAATAACCGGGAACGTTCATGGTATAAAGAAGTGAAAGTGAATGAACTTTGGCATAATATCTTTTTTATCCGCCAATCGGAATTTAATTACGTCATGCCAATATTTGATCATCAAAAGTTGTGGGCGGGAAAATTCACCTGAACGGTTTGAACCTAATAAATTTCATTCACACGAATATCATTCTAATTTGCGGGTGAAATCAACCCAGTCAGCTACAAGTGAGTTGCAAGCACAACCAAGACAACAAATCAAATTATAAAATTATTGGAAATGGTAAAATTAAAGCCTAGTGATTTCTCCGCATAACGAAAGCATTAAATGAAATCACAGAGATCAATTAATGATTTTATTAATGACAAGCAGAATCCAAGTTATCAACATATGGGAGCTTTGCTATTAAAAGTGGGTTCCGAGACTATAAATTGATTTTGAGTTAAATGATGATCAAAAAATAGAAAATTTTCTAATACTGTATCTTTAAAAATTTAATACTTGAAGTATAAGAAAAAGAGATAAAATATTTGAGTATAAATATGAGTAGAATGATCTAGCATTAATGTAGTAAGTTGTTTTGATTGTAATTGAGATTGTAAATGCATTAACATAGCTTCTGAATTATTTTGAAAATTTATTAATGGTTCAGATAAAAGGTCAGAATCATTGTTAGATAATAAAGCCTGATTGGCTTGGTATAATGCATATCTCCTATCATATTATAATATCACATGATCTGAAGATGTTCACTCGTTAAAATAATTCTTTTAAAAAATCTTAAAATTATATTGCATAAATAAATTTATTTATAAATCATTTATAAATTAATTTAAAGTTTTTATTGAATTACTATTAGTAAAAAAAATGCAGAAAAAAGAACCGAAACGAACTATAAAAATAAAAATACTAAAAAATTAAAAAAAAAGAACCAAGAGAATGAAAACGAATTAAAAAAATTAAAAATAAAAAATTTTAATTCTCTCTTTGTAGGTTGCCGCCCTCCGGAACCTGAAATCCTAGATTGAATGAATTAGTGGTAACGTTTATAAAATATTAAAAAAAAATTAATATTTTTACTTACCTCTTTTTGTAGATGCCGAAAGTCCACTCTGGAATCCTGGAATAAATCGAAGGTTAGTATTTTTTTTTTTTTTTAAAATAATAAAATTAAAAAATTATTCCTTTTACTCTTTTTGTAGGTTGCCGAAGCCTCCGGATCCGGGAATCCATCCTGGATTGAATGATTTGGAGGTAAGTAATGTTTTTTACCTCTCTTTGTTGTTGCTGAAGCCCAACGGAATCCTAGGATGGGATGGGTGGTTTACAACCTGATGGGTTTTCGCCAATGACGATGTTGACGCCATCAATAAATGTACAGGTTTGCCATTTTCCACTAAAATGTTTTTGTTTTTTCACTAAAAAAACAACAAATTTCTAAAAAAAAATCTTTTATTCAATTCAGATCACCTGCTGAGCGATGAAGAATTTTGATCGGTCCGAAGTTTTGACTAAGCTAAGTTTAGACGTATTAAACCCGCCGAAACATGTCGAAACGTTTAGAATTTCGACGGTTTTAGTTTCGACTTTCGACATTAGTTCCCAAAATTATTTGAAATTTCATACCTATTTCCTTGCATTAGGATCATATTCTATATAATAATCATAATAAATTCATCCTTGATTCTTTATAATTATTATCTGCATTAATAATTATTAATTATTTTTGGATAAAATACTTTAAAATGACTTACGATTGAAGTAATGTGCTGTATCATAAACGATTCATCTATAAAATATACTCTAAGATTCTTTCATTGACAATAAAATATATATTAAAATTTTAAAATTAATATCTTTTCCTTACATGCATTATGAGCCAAATAACTTATTTTGAGATTTGTATTTCACAGTATTCTAATATAAATGGTAAAAATTAGCAGAATTTGTGAATTTGTGATGTAGTTAAATTGGTGAAATTAGAATATTGAAAAGGAGAAGAAGGGGGAAGGGAAGAAGGTACAGCCGTTGAAGGGGGAACTGAAGGGGGGATAGAAGTTGAAACTAAACGTCGCCTTGGCGCGACAATCGCACGATTAACACCTTGAACGCGCACCTGTCGTGTATTAAATATTATAGGAAAGATTTAAAAATTTAAACTTACATTTTCCAAAGTACTTCCTTGCAAATGTTGGTAACTTCATATTTGAGACTAATTATATAGTAATGCTTATAATATATATATATATTTTTTTTAAAAAAAAAATAAGTATATTTTTGAAAAGTAAATTTTTCATTGTATTTTATTTCAAAAACGCTTGTGTGCGAAAATTCTAGCATTGAAATCTACATGTTGAATTATCGTCTGTAAATTTGATATAAGAGATAGTTTAATATCTAAAAAGTTCTTTATAAAAAAAGAACTCATTATACGAACCACATTTGAATAATTTCTGTCAATCAATGAGTTATTGTTACCAGGATTGCCGTTATCATAAATGTTGTTTACGTTAGAATTGGAACGTTTAACCTATTTCTGTAAGATTCGGCCCGTTGCATTAATATTGAAATTCTAAGATTAAACGCAATTTTTCTTCACTAACTTCACGGGTAATTTAATATCGATTTCTGTAT